CAAATATGTTCGTGTAATTCCAGACTGTCATCTGAAGTCCTGAGATCTCTTAAATGGTTTTTGAGATGGAAAATGCCACCCAGCTATAGTTCTACTAAAACCTGGATCAGGTTTTAGTAGAACTATACTACTAAAATCATCAATTGGATGATTTTTTAATTTTAAAAGTTAAATCAGTACCCATAAAAAAATATGCCTTAGATCAAGTTTTAATAATCATATAATGAACTGTGTCTAGTTAGTAGTTACCAGTTCACTTTTTTCTAGGGTAATAAAAATCTTGAAATGGAAATCTGCAATATTTTGCCAGATTAGTTGCTTAACTTATTTGGTGTTATTACAACAAGTCCTCCTGAGCAGACAAGGTCTCCCTCCCGAGAGATACTGATGCTAGAAGGCCTTTATAAATCAAACCTGAACCAGATATCAGCTCATTAAAAGTGCTGGAAGGATACTGCCAGGTGAATTGGTGACTCATAGCATGGGAATTCCTGTTCAGGGTTTATTTATAGGCAGGTTTTAACCCTGGAGGTTGACTGGAGCCCTAAGAGTCATTTTCTTCTCACGTTGCACAGGAAGACCCTGGGCACTTTTCACTTGAGGGGTCCTGTGTGAGTCAGTGTTGTTCCACTGGGAAATAGCAGAGTAATTTGCTAATGGCTTCAGAGCAGTTAGAGCTGACAACACAGTGGATGTTAGATGACAGAGGGTAGGAAACAAGTAGGTATTTTTCCCCACTGAGGAGCTTATAAAAAACTTGCCTTGAACATGTGCCCACTTGTGTGCATTCACGTTCTCGTGCACTCTTACCATCACTCTTTTCAACACCAACCTCTCAGAGAGACTCCAAGTCTTAGTGCTTAGTCTTATGACAATAATGGTTCTTGAGAAAACTGTAGCCCTAGAGTGGAACCAAAAGGCTCAGAAACCCAGAGGGAACAAAAGAGTTATTGGATTTGTTTCAAGTGTTGAGTTTCTAAATAGCTTTTGAGGTGTTTTTTCCTTGAGTTTTTAAGGACTTAATGCAAGAAATATTCAATATGATACATAATACTCAGCCTAAATCAAATAACAGACAAAAATGCACAAAAATGAACAATAAATAATTCGGAGAGCAGGATATGAGTTTGTATTTTTGGAGTCCTTTCCTTGTGCCTTGGTGACAGGACCAGTCACTTCCTTTGCATAGCAAACACATAATAATTTGGTCTAGGCTCTTTTGTCCTAAGCCACACAGGTGGGAAGGAAAACCAAAACTTTTCCATGAAGGAGCCTGCTGTGCACCCACATTTTTATGTTGTTCCTTTAAAAGATCTAAGAGTAAAGGCTATATGCAGGCCTTGAATCAGAAATGCAAATATCTCAAGTGAGCCTCACAAAGTTAAAAGGTTCATTTAAATTGCAATCCTGTACTTGGTTTGGAATAGTTATTTACTGTCTTGTACAACAGTAAATGGAAGAGAAAGTAAACCATGGCATAACAGTAGAATACTTTTTAAATCTTCTGTGCAGTGTCTGTAGGAGTTGTCTTGGTAAGTCTCTTCCCTTCTTCTCAGATCCTCTAACCAAACTAAAAGTTGTGGGTGGATAGGTAGCAAGAGGTGGTAAAAGACAGACATAAATAGCTCTCAACATGAGAAAGGGCCATCATGGCCATGGACACCCATGGGCAGTAAGAGCAGTCAGAGGTGCCCATGGAACTGGCCAAGTGCTACTGCAGGGAATACCTTGGAATTACTTGTTCCCTGGGACATGCAACAGTGATGCTGCTGACCACAAAACACTCTATAAAGAGCTTTATAGTGCCCTACAAATTGCGCCCAGATAAAATTTGTGTTTTGAATTACACTGGCAAGCATCTGCAGATTAGTAATTTCAGATGTTTCCAGTTTTTTCACACCCACATCTTTGCTAGTGGAAGAGTGTAGTTGAGGGCTTCCAGGTTTATGGCACTTCTTTTAAGCTTCTTTTTCTAAGGTGAAGAGAGACTTCATGCACATGCAGTGCAGAGATGAAAACTCAAGGGAGCTGCTAAAAGACTGTGATTTATTAAGGACTTAATGCCAGATACTTCATACCACTATGTGCTGAAATGACTCCTTGTCACCCCTTTTCTATTTTTACTCTCTTTCCCTTTTCCTGTACTCACTTGCCATAGAATTTGAATTACCATCTTCTGTAGCAAATACCAACCACTTGGGTTAACTAATCAATTAATTTGCAATTTAGAATATAAGCTTTAACTTTCCAAAATGCATGCACTGCATTTTTCCACAGGAATGGGAGAAGAAAATATTTGTGTTTGCTAAATTAATGCATCTTACTTTTTATATCATGCACCAATATTTGTATCTCTGTACATCACTGATGCTATTTTGAATAGCATCACTGATGTACAGAGGTACACAATCCTCCTCCATTTTCTTCTTCCCATTAAGGATCTCAAGCAATCTGTTAAAATAGGTGGTCTGCTGATGAAAACCTCCAGCATAAAGCAAAGCACAAAAGGTAGTCAGAAGTTATGTAAAAAACCAAGACAAAACAAAACCAAGAGACTCCAAAAATCAAGGAATATCCCTAACTGGGGTCGAGGCATTGAATGATGCGTTAGCAGTTTCCAGGAAAGCTGATGATCATTGTAAACCTTTAACTTTCTGGTTCCTTAATTATAAATATATAGTGAAAAGAACACAGAAGCAGCTATATAAAGTCATTGCCTAGGAAGAATTACTGCTTTTGTGCCAAAAAGCCAGCGGGCCCAAAGGGGTGGGTAATTGCCCTGTCCACCTCAGCTGAAGTGAGGGAAGGTGTGAATGCTCACACAGGCTGAGGGTTTGTCCACTGTGCTCTCTGCTGCCTTTCCTCTGTGCCAAAGATCCAAACAGAGCGCATCTCTTAAGTCTCTGTGGAAACTTAAGTGGTGTGGGACAGGAAAGACATAGTTGATTTGTTTCAAATATTGATGCCCACTGGCCTGCCCACGTGTATCTGGAGAGTCCTTTGTGGCAAAGTGGTGTATGGGTATTACAAAAGGAGTCAAAGAAAATCAGCTGAAATCTAGCAAAGGTTGAGCAAGAAGGGAAACAGTGACCATGAGTTCCCTGCTCTCTACCTCACTTGGAGAAGAAATGTTGGGCAGCCAGGACCTGGGAGAACATCAATTCAACCACAGCCCCAAATCTTCAAATGTACCTTAGGCCCTAAGCCTATTTTTTGTGGGTTTTGTGTGTTTTGCTGTTTTGTAGGTATTTTCTAAGATGTTGGAAAGACCAAGACTATGGTTCCTACTTGCCTCAAACACAAGACCAGCACTCTGGCTCTTTGTTTTGCATTTTCTTTTTGCATTTGTGTGTATGAAAAGGAGGTTTAATAATGTTTTCCATTCTTTCTTTGGAGAGACTTAGGGAAAAGTGCTAGGGAGAAACAGTGCTATTACAGATAAACTTCCAGATTATACACAGCTAGAGTTGACAAATAGCACACAACTGGAACCATAGCAAGGACTGGAGTAAGGCACAATCAGGGAAAGATAGAGAAGCTCCTGGAGTTTAATGCTGGAGTAGGAAGAGATACTGAGAACCGTGATCACCAGTAGTAGTTAAATGTCAAGGACTGTGGAAGGATCTCTACAGATCTTGCAAGGTATAACAAACAAGGACTAATTGTTAAGTAGGATGATTCACTCTTAAAATTATTAATCATTCTATGAATTTTGATGAGGATGAACATATATAAAGTATTAATTGCTATGTGATGGTTAATATATCCTCAAGTTGGGAGAGTCCTAATTAAAAAAAAAAATTATATTCGCTTTAGCAAGATTCATCCCAGGATATAATACTATTAAGTATGAGAATAGGCATTAAAATTCTGCCTGCAAAAAGCATGCTAGATAGTTTGGGTCCTGGATGAATTTGATCTGTCAGTTGATGGTATTTATCTGCAAGTGTTTACTGTAAAAATGGTTTTATAAGGGACCTGGTTTGTAGCCTACAAATACTCTGGTAATGTTGAAGGGAACAGAAATGTTTCTGTTGTCTATAATATGAGGATCTGGGGCCTTGAGATCAGCAATTCAAAATTATTGAACAGTTTATATAGTGTGATACTCCAGTAACATCTTACTGCCAACATTTCTTTCTACCTGTAAAGCTCTCCTTGCAAAGTTTGTGGCAACAAGTATTTTTCTCTAGTCTTGTTGCTATTGAGAACTTAAGTAAGGAAGCATAACTCCCTATAGCAGAGACTCAATAGCGTGCCTTGGTCTGTTCTGTAGTGTAACACATACGGTCCTCATTCTTTTCCCTGCCTTGGCAGTGGCACTATTAAAAACCTGTCCTGGATAGTAAAAACTAAATCTGTTGCCCCACTCAGGACTGAGCTCTTACAAAATGTGAGCCACAAGAGACAAATTCTTTCTAAAGTCTTGACCACAGCAGTGAACGTAAAAACTGTCTTTTAGAGTGGAGTGATCTTATTTGTATGGTGCAGTTTGGAAGTGCTGTAGTTCCATGAGTATCACTAAGAAGTTAGGTGGGATGAAAAGCCCATAGGTTAGCAGCAGTGCAGGCTCCATCCATGTGGTAATATGAGGGGAACTTTATTCCAGAAGCACCTCTGCCTATACCTCTTCTCTAGCCCTCAAAGTCCTCAAATGCCGTCTTTTCTCTCTCTGAGCAGAGAGCTCTTCAATTTCTGCTTCTGATAATGTGGGGACCACACAAGGATGGTATGAACATTGTTTCTGAAGTATGTGAACTTTTGAAGAGGTATGGTCTGAAATATGAGCTGAAATATGATGTAGAAAGCTTGGAATCAGATAATTCCAAAGCCATCTGAGTAATAAGTTAGCAATAGTGTCAGCTCTAGCTCAACTAGCCCATGAGTTCCCAGATTTGTGCAGTCATCTTGGTACCTCTTTCATCAGTATCCACCTGCATTATAATTTTGCAAACAAACTTGCCGTTTGATTCAGGTTTATAGTAAGTTTATTAAAATTCAAAGCCTTCTATTAGTAGCATGTATCAGTTTTAAGATATTTCTATGTACATAGTTCTCTAGGGCGGGGAGTACCTATGAGTTTGTGAAATACAGATTCCAGCCATGGCTTGTTCTTATTCAAAGAAAAGCAATGGGAAAAGCAAACCAATTGTTTCACGTTTGTTTCACATGAGGGCAAAACTGAAGTAACTTCACAGATGGCATTGGTAGGATAAGGCTTCCCCAGGGCAACACTGAGCAGGGTTACATTCACTCAGTTACACTGAATTACTCTACATCATCCCTAGGTGAGAATATTCACACACTGTTGTGAACTGAGCTAATAAAAAGTGCAATACTGTGTGTAAAACTAGAAGACTCAAGGATCATCTTCTGAATATGGCACTGATCAGGAGATAGATAGCCTGAAGCATGAAATCAGTTTGTACAGGTTATATAGGTGTGACTGACTAACTTAGACAGCACCTTCTTAAAACCAGCACTCAATGCAGAATGTTCTGGTCTCCATCAGCATGGAGGTCTGCCCTCTCCCAGCTCTGTGGGTGGACATCCTCACTACACTGTGTGAAACTATCAGTCATTCACTGTTAAATGCCATCCAGGTCAGGACAGCAAGGATGAGATGATAACTACATTCAGCTGTAAATATATATGAGCAAGCATTTCAGAAAATAAACAAATAGAGTTCATCCATAAAATGAAGAAGTCTCCAGGCATTCAACCAGTGATGAATAGATTCTGGTGAGTTTGTGTTTGTTCCAAGATTTTATTGCCACTTAATAAATAGGAAATAAAAGCAGATAGTAAGGATTTCTTTGTTGTTTCATGCAGCACTGATGATGATTCCAGCTGGTTGGCCTTAGATGCTTGGATTATTTGCGTTTGGCAGCACGTCTTTCATTTATTCTCTTTATAGCAGCCTGAACCCATTTCTGATTAGGACTTACACAGATCCTGATACCTCCTGCAGTGATGAACCTATCAGAAAAAGGAAAGCAAACCAATCAGCCATAAAACTCTAGTCTCTATACACAGGTCTGCTGTTCTTGGTTTATATACAGAACATAAGTAAAAATGTGGTAAAACAATATCAGATGATGGAGTTTGTAAATGTTAGTAAGAGTGACACCAGTTAGCCATGTCAGTTCCCTGTTCATGGCATAGGTACATATGTAGCATACATGGTCATGTACTACTGATTTTAGATAACTGAGCATACCTGCTATTCTGGGACTTTATGCTAAATCTTGGTGAGCATTTATCTCCCAGGAACAGATCCCACTTGTGATAAAAATGCATGCATCTGAGCTCAAAGGACCAAACACAGCTCCTGGCAAGACTCAGAGTTACTCCATATTCTTTCACCTGATCTTTCCCCCTGACTCAATTCATGCACAGGGCCTCTGACTGCTCTGCCCTTGTTGGGATTTTCCCCCACTCACCGGGCACAAAGATGTGAGCTGGTCAGTGAGCTTCCTGACATTATTTATGAGCAGCACACATCTCTCAGCTCTCTGAGGCCTGCTTGTGTCCCCTCACTCCCTCAGTTGCCATGTGGAATGAAGGAACCAGAAGGGTGACCTGGACTAGCCAGATTTAGTGAGTTGGGCCAGCAGAATTGTGTTCTGCTGCCCCTTCCCTAGTTGATGGTTTTGTGTTTGCATAAGGAAGTCTGAAGGGTGCATGAGATACTTACATGATGGCATCTGTTGGTACTTGTTGCTTTTCATAGCTCACAAGATTTCGGATGTTCAACTGCTTTGTAGACAGATCTACACACCTGAATTTGCGCATGGATTGACTGGTAGCACTCCCTAGAAGGGAAAAATAGATAAATTACAAAGGGAATAAATACTTTTATTGATATTTAGCCATAATTGCTTAATAAGCTCGGAATTCCAAAAGATTCCTAGTGATGGTTAGACCATGAGAGTCTCATGATGTACAGCCACAATACCAGTTATACCAGAGAGCCTAAGCTATTTTTTGTGATGCATCCTACTGTCTCTAAAGTGTTGTCTATCCCTATGGAGTCACTGCTTCCATAGCAGTAGAAGAGTTTGACATCATTCATAATCAGGTCTACATCATCTGCAAGTACGCATATGGAGGTAACATTTAGAACTGGCATTTTATTGGGTGGATTTCCATATATCTTTTGAATATGGATTAGAAATTCCTCCTATTTTCCAAGTGAAGAAAAGGAAAGTGAGCCTACTTCTCTCACATTCAATTGTAGTATTACCAAAAATTGTTAACAGAAAGGGAGAGATACCTGCCAGAAGAATAAGTGCTTATATCCTCTGGCTATAACTCTGATTTCATAGGTGGTGGGGTGCTTCTTAATCCTTGCATTCCTCCAAGATTTTGATACAATTCATAGAAATGTAGTGGTGATTAAGAAAGAGGATCACAATATTGGTATAAAATTTTCTGGGCACTTGTTATCTTACATGATGATAAGTAAAAATGGGAGCTCACTTAAATACAATGGAGTTTACATTAGTGTTAGTCTCCATTGCCAGTTCCTGGTTTTCTCCTGTTCATGGAAGACAGGTTTGGGAAAGCATGCAGGGGACAAAAAGTACACTGCTCTACTCTGTGGTTTGTTTATAAAGAATTTGGAGAGGTACTGGCTTGCGAAAAGTCCAAGAGCTGTTGTGGTGCACCTTGCTAAATGTAAAACCTGCTGCACACAGTCTCGCCATTGAAATAATTGGAGTAGCTGAGACAAACGCACAGCAGTCTTTGGAGAAGGTGTGGGATAGCCAGTGCACAGGTACTGGCAGATCTGCTAATTCCTGAGATTTTCTTTGCCTGAAGAAATCTCCCTTCTGATCTTGCTTTAGTAATGAGTAACACAATGTAGATTTTTTTATGTTTCATGACACATTTCTTACTGCCTCAGACTGGTTTTCAAAATGTGACATTAAAAGAGCTCAAATACAGTCAAGCAATTGTTCCAAGTCCTGGAAATATTTCTTCTGCTACTGCACAACCTTCAGGGAATGGATGCAGGGAATAGCAGCAAAATTTCTCAAGACTGGGAACAAACCCCAACTGTCCTGCACCTAGAACTACCTTATTTCTCTGGTGTATTTGGTTTTTTTTTTTTTTTTTCCATTCTTTCTAATCCTTTTTTCTGTCCCTTGTAGACCATCCCATTGTGCTTTTATCAAACTTGGTGATACTTAGGGCCAATTACACAGCCTGGACAATGACACTGTCTGTGATATGAAGCCACTGTTGCCAGGAGGAAGAGCAGTGTCACCAATGAAAATAGGAGGATGTAGTGGGATGTGGCTGCAGAGGCAGTGGGTGGGCATGAAGGCTGTGTAGCCTCATAGACGTGGGAATGCTTAGCAGGCCACAGTTTGGATTTGGTGTGGTTTTGTGAGGGAGGATACCTTTTCTCTGTGTTTCTGAGTGCATATTTGTGGATTTGCATATAGCTTGCATATCAGTGGTTTGTGTGAAATCTACTTGTGATGAGATGATGTTTGTAATGGGAATATGTTCATGTTTCTCCACAATCCATGGAGCCTAATCCAAAATTTACTGACCTAACCAGCCCTGCAGACAAACTTATTTAAAGAATAGCCAATAAACATGGCTCATCTCAGTGTTCATAATTGGTTTGAAAGAAGATGTTCAATTGTATGAATTAGTGAAATGAGAGAAGATATTGTATAAATCTATTACTCCCCTTTTTAGTTATTGTTCTTATTTTCCCTGCCCATACTAAAAGGTTTATCTAGAAACAATTCTATAAAAAATATGGAACTTATAAACAGTGGAGAACTTCTTAAAATGTAGATATTAGAAAGATTAAGACTATATAGTTAGAGGAATACATATAACAATTAATACCATAAAATTAATATAAAAATAATCTATCAGGAAAAAGGAAAATGTACATATTATTCTAGAAAGATTTTTCATGACATGTTGTTAACCTATAGTACACATGTATACATGGAATCAGTGAGACTAAAATACATGGTATATGGCATCAGTGAGACTAAAAGACATTGTGCCTTCAAGAATTCTTTGATTTTAAGTGGGAAACCATTGCACAGAAAGCCTATAAGGGCTCTCAGGCACAGAATCTCTCCTTGCATCAAAAGAGAAACCGATCACCAGCAGGACATCAGATGAAATCCCCCATGAAGCTGCCTTTCTTGCAGATTTCTTCTGGATGTCTTGTGTGCTTTATCTTATAAATCAGCTGTCTGCAGCAATTAATTTTGCTCATGAGACCACAGGTGCAATGTGGAGCAATTCTTGTCATCCTCTTGAGTTGCAAACTTACCTTTGACTGTGTGCACAGTGAAGACGCCAAGCCAGAAGAGGAGCAGGACTGCTGCGGTGTGGAGCTTCATCGCTGTGGCTTCTGTGTCAAGGCAGAGCAGAAATTGTCTACTGTCAGCCCCCTATCTCAGGGTTTATATATTGTCATTCAGTGGTCAGTTCTTGTGTTCATTTCTATGGTGTCACGGAGGGTCTGACTATAAGTGGAAAATTTGAGTTGGCAGTACTTTTTCTGGTGACAGAACCGCCTCCTGTCCCCCACCAGTCCTTCACAGCCCTTCTGAGAAGGCTTTTCCTGCTCAAACCCACTGTGGTTGCACTCACTTCTGTGCTGTGACTTGGGTTTATTTCAAACTGCAAAAAGTGAGAGCTCTTGTGCAGTAGTGGAAACCTGTAATAAATGTTCCTGTCATTTCACACTTCAGTTCTGAGACCCTTAGCTAAGCCACACTGCAGAGACACAGAGTGACACTGAGAATTACCTCGCTGACCAATGAACCACTGGAAGGGGGAGCTGTGAACTAAAGGATGATGGAAACAGGAACACCGTGGCTCTTTCCAAGCAGCTGTGGTTGGTTTGTCACGTTAACTTGTAGCTGTGGAGGGGTATCACTGCTATTTCTTATGAGCAGTGGATGTTGTCAGAACGCTTGTGTTTGCTCTGTGACTTGATATGGCCAAAGCTGATATCACTGTGCTGGAAGAAGCAAGATTGAACACACCTTTGCATACAGATCCAGATCCAGCATGCCTCCTGCCAATCAGGCATAACTAAAATGTGATGGTTTCAAAGAGGAATGAGAGTTTGTAAAGGGTTTCTTTGCTTTGGTTTGGATTTTTTTGTGGTATGAACTTTCTAGTGCAAAGAATGAGGCCCAAGAAAGCAACTAGGTAATCAGAGAGGTACAATTTGTAGAAAAGACCAACAAAAAAAAATTAATTGCACTTTCATGTAAGCATGCTGCTGATAGCAGGTCTGTGAGCTTGTTACAATTATCCCTCTATCGAAAGCCTTTTTTGGCACAGTGTGCCAACTCTATCATCCAGATTTAGGTGTCCTTTCTATTGAATGTGGTCTAAATTACTGGACAGCATTGCTAGAAGCCAATGGTTTTGGGCCTGCAAATATTTGTCAGGCCAGTTTTGGACCTCCAGACCACACACAAAGCAGCACCTCAGCTGGCATCTTCTTCCAGAGCCTCACAGCAGAAATCTTCTCATGTGCTGTGAGAAAGGAAGCCCACTCCTCTTAAATTTTTGAGAGTTTTAATGAATGATAAGATTGCAGTTACAAGCCTGGGTGCATGGCAAGGCCAGAGAGACACCCACTTCTTCAGTCTGCAGTCTTTTATACTGTTACAGTTGTTTTACTTCCTTGGATGATTTTTCAAGTTTATTTTGGTCTTGTTGACTACAATCTTGCTTCAGATTTTTGCGACATTTGCACAATTCAATAGTTGCAGACACTGGCAGTCTAGGGTCTTCTGAGCAGTCTGATGGTCTTCTGACCCCTCTTTAAACTTAGTACACTTCCTTTTATGGTCTTCTGCTCTCCACTTATTCCATTTTGGATATACATTTTGCAGTAGCAAGGATATCTTCATATACATCTTTCACAAGCCCGCTTACATCTTGTGAATGCCTTGCTTCCCCGTTTACACTGCCCACAAACAATTAAAAATTTTATCATACTTAAAAAGCAGTTTAAAAGTTACAATAATTAATTACAAACAATTACAGTTTTATAATTAACGCAAATAAATTGTAGTGAAAGCCAACTATTACATAGCCTTTTATAACGCGTGCCCTCTGCAGCTGTACAGAAGAACCCAGCTAGTTCTGGTATGAATAGGTAAACACCAGCGTGCCTGATGCCTGGGCTTGTGAACAGCTGTCAGTGCAAGGACTGGAGAAGTCATGAGGGTATCCTGGTTTTGACTGAGATGGAGTAATTTTCTTCTTATTAGGTGATACTGTTCTGGGTTTTGGATTTAGCATAAGAATAATGTTAACATAATGATAACACACAGGTATTTCAGTTGTTGCTGAGTAATGATTACCCTGAATCAGGGAGAACTGCTAAATGTAATCATTTTCTTAATTTTTAACAAGGTCAAGAATTTTAAACTGTAATAATTTGGTATGTACCTTGTTTCATGACAGCAGCCCTGCTGAAGAAATATGCAGCGAGCAGAGTTTTGCCTAGTATCAAGAGTTTACACATCAGGGCAAAGGGTTTGTCGTATTGAATTTTCTCATCCTGTAGTCAGCTTTTAAAAAGAGAGACCAAGATCTTCAGGAATAACTAAATTCCTAAGCACTCCTAGAAATTATTATCTCTAGTGGGTGTTCAGCAGTCCCTTGTAGATGAATTTGTACCATCAGGTCACTTAATCAATTCTGAAGACTAAATGAGGCATTCAGTGACTTTCGGAGGGGACTTAAGAACCTCAGCTTAAACATGGCTGTATCTCAGTTAACTGGGTTTAGGAGGGACTTTGTCTACCTCAGGGGATAAATATCTGTTTCTATTATCTATAGAAGCAATTTGTGTATGTGTCGTATGCAGGACCCAGTAAGCTAGGTGGAATATATGGGACCCTAACGTATTTTGATTTTACATTGTTTCTTAACACTTGGAGTACTGGTTGAAGAATTACCAGCAAGTGACATCCAGTTGTGATGTCTCCATTATTTTCTTCCCTTGATTTTCATCACTTTTGCTCTGTAGTTTTCATTCTGATTTCATAACTACCTGAAATAGTAGTTTGTGTTTAGTATTTTAATTTATATTGCAATGGGGTAGAAGCAAACACGTTCTCAGTGCTCACATCTCAGCTGAGAGATGATTTCTTGTCTAAACTGATGGCTGCAATCACATTTTTAATAATTACTCTGTTTTGTACTGGTTTTGGCAGAACTCCTTCTTTAGAAATGTAACCCTATTAACAATACTTTCTCTTAATCATAATAGAGTTTTTGCTTGTAGACCATCTATTTCCACTACTACACTGCCAGCTTTTTCCTGCCAGGTTTTCCCTAGTCCTGCCATCTTTTCTTGATGTATTGTGTGCTCTTAAATAATAGTCAAAATTCAAATCAATCAAAATCTTTCTTTAGTCATTCAACTGGAAGTATTCAGATATGTAAAATTACACTGGGAAAGATTTGGTTTGAAAGGGCCCAGAGATCTTTGCTCTTTCTTTCATTCAATGTTATCTTGTTTTGGTTTAGTTCAATGAGCTTGTTTTGCTTTAGCTATACATACACCCAAGATCTACAAAAGAAATATTCTTATTCTCATCTTTATAATCCTAGTCCTGTGAGTTTTTTTGTTTGAGAAATCAATTGTGGGAAGTCAACTAAACTCTGTGCAATGCTATTGCTGCAGAAAAACACAGAGGTGACTGTAGCTCAGTTCTGTGACGCTACATAATATTGCACATGCTGAAACAGGAGTCAAATACCTTTGGAACTTTGTAGAATATTCTCAGTCCATGTAGGGATGCCTTCTAGCAGCCTTCCAGTACCTGAAGGGGGCTTATAGAGAGCTGGAGAGGTACTTTTTACAAGGATATGTAGTTGTGGGAGAGGGGGCAATGGCTTCAAACTGAACAAGGGTACTCTTAGATTAGATATTAGAAAGAAATTCTTTACTCAGAGGGTGGTGAGGCACTGGAACACGTTGCCCATAGAAGCTGTGGATGCCCCATTCCTGGAAGAGTACAAGGCCAAGCTGGATGGAGCTTTGAGTGTTCTGGTCTAATGAAAGATGTCCCTGCCCCCAAAGTAGGGGAGGTTGGACTGGATACAGTCCCTTCCAACGCAGGCCATTCTATAGCTGTATGATATGAGTATCCTTTTTCTTCCTTGTTTTGTTGGAATTTTTTGTTATTTCTTTTTCTACTGCCTCAACTGTCACACAAATCAGAAAAAGCAGATTTTGTTTAGTGCTTCTTTTTGTGTGTACCATGCCTGCATGATGAAGGATGGGAACCAAACCTAACTGCATAAGTGTTGTTAGTCTTCAGGAGAAGAATAAAGATGGTTTTGTGAAAAACAGATGACTTAGCTGAACCATGGATGGTCAGTGCCTAAAGCACTGGAAATGGATCAGAACCAATATGCTGTTTCTGGGTAAACCTGAGCTTTTCTCAGAAAACTGAAGAAGTTCAGATACTTATGTTTCTCAGTGGGTAACAGTTTTGTTTTGGTACCTCACACTTTGGAGAGAGCCCCTTGGCCAGTCTGTATGTGTTTGGATTCCTTTGCTCCATGAGAGTCATCACAGGGAATATGTTGAAGAGCTAAGATTGTTAGTGGAAAGAGGGAGTTACAGGTACAAGACCATACATCAGTGACATCTGTATGCTTCAAACAAAACAGTGTGTACAGTTATTTACAAGTATACAGACTTTTTTTTTATTTATGCCATTAAATACTTCTGCCATCATATCTGTTGAAGGGCAGGCTGTGTAATAGAGAATCACAATAAAGCACCAACTTCCAGGGAGCAGAGCAATAAGCAGAACCAGTAAGCCTGGATTCAACTTCTGGTCTTTCACCTGCTAACTTTTCTTCCCTCCACCCAATAATTGTTCCAACTCCTCAGCATATGTTTTCATGTGCCAAAGGAAACCATGCATCCACACTTGGCTGTCCAGGTCACTTGTGCTGTCAGACCTGCTGCATTGAATATCCCTTTTTTGCTGGTTTTTCCCCACTAGGAGGCACCATCCATAGTCTTTTTGCTGTTGAGATGCTAAGTTTTGAAAAATTCATTGGGATTTTTGCCTATTGTTTACCATAAATTGAAATTGGATTGAAATTAAAGATAGTGGATTTAAAAAAAATAATTAAAGGACACATGAATAATGTGAAATTCTTTTTTTTGAAAATGTCACCTTCTTGAACTTTCTAAAAGAGAATCATGGTATTTTTCTTCTGTTATTTGTTTGGTTGGCTTTCTTTTTCCCTTAAATAGCTGATTTCTAATAAATGCATTTGTTTAAAACAATAATTGTCCTTGTAAACATTTTTAATAACCAAACCTTCATGAGGTCCTACCAAAGAATTTAAGAA